ATGCAGTCCGATCGCTATGTGATGCAGTCCAGTATTTATGTTGTACAGTCCTTTCTTTATGTGGTGCAGTCCCATTTCTATGTTATGCAGTCCAGTATTTATGTTGTACAGTATTTTCTTTATGTGATGCAGTCCAGTATTTATGTTGTACAGTCCTTTCTTTATGTGGTGCAGTCCCATTTCTATGTTATGCAGTCCAGTATTTATGTTGTACAGTATTTTCTTTATGTGATGCAGTCCGATCTCTATGTTATTCAGTCCAGTATTTTTGTTGTACAGTCCTTTCTTTATGTGATGCAGCCCCATCTCTATGTTATGCAGTCCAGTATTTATGTTGTACAGTTCTTTGTTTATGTGATGAGGTCCGATCTCTATGTTATGCAGTCCAGTATTTATGTTGTACAGTCCTTTCTTTATGTGATGCAGTCCCATCTCTATGTTATGCAGTCCAGTATTTATGTTTTACAGTCCTTGCTTTATGTGATGCAGTCCCATCTCTATGTTATGTAGTCCTATCTCTATGTTATACAGTTCCATCTCTGTGTTATGCAGTCCAGTATTTATGTTGTACAGTCCTTGCTTTATGTGATGCAGTCCCATCTCTATGTTATACAGTTCCATCTCTATGTTATGCAGTCCTATCTCTATGTTATACAGTTCCATCTCTATGTTATGCAGTCCAGTATTTATGTCCTGTGTTTACGTTATGTAGTTCTATTTTTATGTCATTCGGTCTCATCTTTGTGTAATGCAGTCAAGTATTTATGCCATGTAGCCCCGTCATTATGATATGTAGTCTTTTCTTTATGTGGCGTACTGCGGACCGGATGTGTTGCAATGCGCATGCGTCTTATTGGACTGTTGTGCGGCCACAGTCCAATGGTGCTTTCATCTTTATTATATTATATTGTGTTATATTATGAAAACATATTACACGAAATGTGTGATCTTATAAATGTAGATTTTTTTGTGGATGGTAATATTCATACCTTGGTATAGATTTTTGTTTTAAGAATATTTTTTGTGAAATTCACGTGTTACATGATTTTCGTCTGTTTTGGTGGCATGTCATCTAAACGGCATGCTTTTAACGAGAATATGCACGCACAGAAAACGAATTTGCGTAGTTTGGTGACAAATAAAATTTATATAACGATCATAATCATAGACACTGATTATTCGGGGAAAAAATACTATTTGAACTTGTGTTACTTTCATGGGTTTTCCTTTAAGAAGTTCGAAATGCTGCGAAATCGCCAAAAGCTTCCATAGTCCACGGTGACACGCGTCGCCACACTAACATATGGCGCGTTTCTGAAGTATCGACGCGCTGTTTTAGTATAGCGGCGACTCGCTTAGATGCGAACATACATAGTTTTTTGATTGAAAAGAGTTTGCAACCAAATGTATTCATGTTATAATTATCTGTCACCACGTTTTAAGGCATAAACGACTATTTTTTCTGTTTATTTTGAAAACTGGTACTCGGTGTAAATGGTTCCGTCTTCGCAGAACCGACGACATAGAAAGGATTAAAGCCGTATTTTCTGTCCAACAGGGAATAACTTGCCTCGTGCATGTGGTAATATATCTTGTGGACAATTGATAACACAGCATATCATATTCTTTATTTCTAAAACTGTTCAGGTATCGATTACATAGATTTGTATATTATTTTGTGTTCTTATCAATTTGGTGCTCAATTTCAGTAAACACTAACTTTTGAAATAAACCATGAATATATTTCCAAACCTACAAATGTTTTTTGTCGATGTATTACCATATTATTTGATTCATTGTTCTAATTACGCATTGAAACATTTCATATATTTATATCAAGTTGTTTGATATTTATAGCTATAAGTTGATCTAGTGAGTAGATACAAAGAATATACTCGAAACATACACATATATGGAATAGCATTTGATCATGGTTACAAAAAAGGAGATTTGACCTAGTGACGATAATTTCACGTCTACACATTTAGGTTTCCGCAAGGTAAGACATTATTTCAATTATTACAGCAGCTGCAAGAATGACCATTAACCAGTCACCTGTAAGTGACAAATGGAACTTTGGGAGAACCTTTGTTAAGATCTACATGTAGCGTTGGGAGAACCTTGGTTAAGGTCCGCAGGTAGCATTTGAAGGAGAACCTTGGTTAAGGTCCGCAGGTAGCATTTGAAGGGGAACCTTGGTTAAGGTCCGCAGGTAGCATTTGAAGGAGAACCTTGGTTAAGGTCCGCAGGTAGCATTTGAAGGAGAACCTTGGTTAAGGTCCGCAGGTAGCATTTGAAGGAGAACCTTGGTTAAGGTCCGCAGGTAGCATTTGAAGGAGAACCTTGGTTAAGGTCCACAGGTATCATTTGAAGGGGAACCTTGGTTAAGGTCCGCAGGTAGCATTTGAAGGAAAACCTTGGTTAAGGTTCACACGTAGTGTTTAGAGAACCTTGGCTAACCCCTGCACATAGTTTTTGGAAAACATTGGTTAATGTCTACAGTTAACGATTGGAGAACCTCTGTTAAGGTTTGCAGGTAGCTTTCGGAGAATGTTGGTCAAGACCCTCGGGTAGTGTTTGGAGAACTTGATCCTGTGTTCATTTGTAATGCATATAAAAAAAAGTGAAGTTCATTGTTGCCTGATATATAAACCATGATATACATATTAAATATTACTTGACAAAACCAAGACGTATTCACACCTTGCATTAACTCGGGAATGATTGGTGTAAATTTGAAATTCGTTGCACTAGCATAGTAGATTTGACGGCGGTCCCATTGACATGATTACCTTCGTTATTCAAATTGGAGAAATCATAGAAAAAGTGTAGTGACTACTAAACACGAATGATATTGATCATGTTATAAATATAATAATTTCATGCAAAATGCCGGAAAACCTCGTGCATATTGCCCGTGGCATGCTTCTATTGTAAATACACTAAATGAGGAATAATCCATTGTCATACATTACTGTTACTCAGTAAACACTGACTGTGTATCTGACACAATAAGCAATCAAATATGCATTTCATGTAAGCCTCTCTAAAAACAAACATTATGCAAAAACATATCAGCGATGGTTTGTTTCAATGGAACTAAAGGGGCTCCATGATGTTTCAAATACTCGAGTAGCATCCCATCCCAGAGATCTCTACGTTTGAAGTAACTCTTTAATTATATTCTTATATAAAATAAATCCATTCTCTGTACCTCGCATTTGATAAATAAAACACAGAAATATTAATACCAGGCGCTGAAAATGATTTGGCAAAGCTGTATACTAGTATACTATAATAGGTTGACGCGTGGACCATATTAGTGGTCTGAGGTTGAAGTTAAACAGAAAAGATAAGTTTAAAAGGCTATGACTGATAGATGATAGAGCGGGTTAGTGTGAATATTAAACAAACTAAACTTAAACTTGTACAATTTATGTTTTTTTTTTTAATATTTGTTATCGGATGACAGCTCCAGGCGATAAATATAATATTTCATTAACTTTTTTTTGCAAAATAGTGCACATGTTGACAGGGATACAGGGATATGTTACCCATATTTTTCTTAAAAGCAAAAACACGCATTATGTGAAGGACACAGGTTAGTGGACATTTCTTTGAACTGAGAAGTATAGTGTAGTAGCTTCATTATGATACAGTACTTAAATAAAACATGGAAGGTACCTTCCATGAATAAAATAACTGAAAATCATTGCCATGGTCACGGTGTATCTTAACAATTTATATAAATCGCGCCCTCTAGCATCGAAGCCGTTCTATGATCTAAATGGGTGACACGAAGGCCCGTTCAAAGTATTGATATCGTTTTTATCTGTAGTTGTCTGTCGATGTAGATTATGGTTTTGAGCGATTTCACTATATCATAGGATGACGAATAACTACACAATCAAACACAGTTATCGATTTAAATGGCATTGTTTTTGCTCCAGATATACGTCTGTGGAGCGTTATACAAACACGATTATAACATAAAACTGAACCTGTACATATTTGTCGCATTAAGCACACATATAAAGACGTAATGTTGACGTCACAGAACCGCCCTTTAACTAGGGCGTGCCTTTTATCAATATCTTGCTTTGAACAATTATTAGAATCATTGCCCTGATTAACATTGGTGTTGATTTAAAAAAAAAAGGATATTTGAAGAAATTATATTTTACATGACAAAAATTCAAATTCACGCAATCTATATCAGTGGAAAATTTCCAGTGCCATATGTGAATCAACCTGATTTTAATCTGATGTAGTTTCAGACTTTTTTTATTTCTTTATTTATATTTTATTCAAACTTATACCTACATCGAGTTTTAGTTAGACTGACAGATATGTATTATTGTTTGCCATTTTCATGTAAAGATGGTGCAATTCGAAGGAACAGCTTGGTGGCGCAGTTTGAAGTCAAGTATCTACTCGAAATATAAAGAAATGTTACAATTTAATGCAGTTTTCATGTTGTTATATTTTGTTGTTATACCTTTATTTACTCTGCATGTAATTTTACATTATAGTTGGGGGTTAATATATGGATAGACGAAGAACTGGAAAGCGTGTTTAAATAGTTTTTAAATCGCGAAAGATTGTCTGTCCTGATTCAGTAACCTGACATAGATGCTATGTTCAGAATGTCTTGTGGGTCAAGTACGGATCGTAGTGTTCCGCCGGCATTAATGTTTATGGCACGTTAGTGCGATGCCTGTGGAGCGGACCCATTTGCACTAAGAGATGATCAAGACGAAACGACGTAACCGGTAATTACATGTATAGGTTAGTTTGGGTGTGGTCACAGACTTGCATAGCCTACAAAACGCCCCGAGCGAAAAACGCGATTCATATTGTTTGGTATGACCTCGTTCACATTGTATATGTAAATTATACTCTGCTCTGACCCTGTCTAGCTTCATTTCAGTCGGGCATTGTTGCTTTGTCATTCCATGTGACGCTGTGTAACAGGAGTGGCAACACGAGTCGATCAACGTAATAGTAGAACTGAAATCGTAAGAAGTCATTCCGGTGATCGCAACTAGCAGTAACACGTTATCTTGTTAAGGAGATTAATAATGGGTAGGTGTATGTGTATATATCATTATTCAGTCTGTGTAAAGTTATTACAGTATTATAAACAGTAAAAGGGAATCATATTACTTACAACTGGGTGTGTGTGTGTGTGGAGGAATCATTTGGTATGGGCAAGTGAAACAGTGAAACCACGGTGATGGTCAATTCAGTAATGAGAAGTCTTTAACGAGATATTTAAATCTAGCGTGGTAAGGATAAATTTTACTATGAGTTACAACATCATATACCGAGTATATACCGAGTACGGTACTACGACATCCGGGGTAATATCTCAGTCTGTGAATGTGTTGTCGAGTTGTAAACAAATGAAACGAAAAACTATGTCAAAGCACGGTTTTAGTAACCGTGGACAAAATGAGCATTCTATGAAAGTGAAGACAGTGAAAACAAAGTCATGCTTCGATTATTTATGTGCGTTAATATTACTATGATTTATTGAAGTAAGACATCGAGATAAATTTAAATTCAATACATCGTACAGAGGTAAAACAGAGGAAAACTCGTTGGGCTCAGAAGTATTGTTCTGGTGTTTGATTCATTGTTGTATTGTATACCTGTTTTGAATAGCGCTATATAATTAACCTGGAACTAGAGCAATAGAAATGTACATCTTTGAATGCTCGTCTCGTAGAGCACATGTGGATATAATGGGCACATGAATGACACGTCTGGAAATAGATATATGACATATATCCCAGCCAGTATATTGTATGCAATACGTTGTATGCATGTAAAGAAATTACATAAATCCAGACAAATGAGTTTTGCCTTTTTACACGCCGATGAAGGCGTGTGCGTGTGCGTACAGGAATCAGTGTACAGTTGTTTATTTATGTCAGGCGTCAATGGAGTGGGGTTATACTGTCGTGCACTCCCTTGTTTACAACGAGTGCATTCATCGGCAACAGCTGCATTCAATGCACGGATGTATGGCTGTGTCATACGCATATTTCAATATATTCAGGTGTGCATGCCGTTTAAGCTTCGCAGTGCCCTACACGGTTGTTCTCACAAAAGTACAAATGTCAATGTTTGAATTTGTTCTTGTAATGTATAACCCCCCATAAACAACGTGACTTTCTAGCAAGAGCAATAAAGTGTAAAGTCATTGCAACAATTCTAATTTCACCTTGGTCTCTAAGTCATTAAAATTACACACCATGCACAAAGAAGACACGAAAGCAATGGTTATGATTGATTCTATGTGTATTTTATGAGACGACCTGACCTCCCATGATGACATTGCAGGGCAAATGTGACCACAGGTTAAAAAGATCATAGAACTGAAATATATATTTTATATGTACAGTACCATGTACAGTATCACTAATTTATTTATATAAATATATATATATCAACTGAAGTGTTAACTACACGTCAAATGTATTGAAAATAGCAAAGATCGTTGTCATGGTACCACGTG